CTTTGGATCTGCTCAATTCCAGCTACTGTAGCCACTTGGGGAATAAATCAATTGACAGAAGCTCTTCTGCCTCTCCTCTCTGTAAATCTGATTTTCCAATAATTTTTAATCTTAGAAAGGAGGATTTTTCTAAGCAGGATATATCTCACTTTACCAATTCTGATGGCTAAGGTTACTTTGGTTGCTACAGTTGCTTCTTTTTTCTTTTAAAAGTTTTACTCATTTTTATTGGAAAGGCAGATAGATTTACAGAGAAAGGGAGACAGAGAGAAAGATCTTTCATTCTCCGATTAACTCCTTAAGTAGCAACAATGGCCAGGGCTGAGCTGATCTGAAGCCATGAGCTTCTCCTGAGCCTCCCATGTGGGCTGAGGGTTCCAAGGCTTTGGGCCATCCTCTATTGCTTTCCCAACTTATAAACAGGGAGTTAGGTGGGAAGTGGAGCAGCAGGGACACAAACCAGCACCCAAATGGTATCTCAGCATATGCAAGGCAAGGATTTAGCCACTGAGCCATTGTGCCTGGCCCAAGCTGCCCCCTTCTTCATTTGCAAATAAAGGCAGCCCACCAATGAACCCCACCCTAAGCTCAACACAACCTTCTGATAGAGAAGACAGCTGGAGCCACCAAGAAGTTTTAACTCCTGCTTGTTTTCAACACCCAAGCAGGTGTCAGGCCCTCCAAATTCCCCAGGCTGAGTAAGGGATCCCTCTCAGGTGTTCTATAAGTCCCCTGTGCAGAGCTGCTGTCTCGGCCTTCTGCCGTGCTGCCGCTGCTGACTGGCTTCAACCCCTTGGGACTGTGAGCTCCTTGCAATGTCAGCCAGTTGTTCTCCAGACCCCAGGACCTGGATGGCACTTCATGCTGATGAAGTTACTGGGAGAATGAACAGTGATCACTGGGGCATTGCTGCCAGGCATTGGCATGGGTCTCAGGGCAGTATTTAAGCTGTTGTTGAGGCTGCCCACTCCTCATATCAGAGTGCTGGTTCCAAGTCCTGACTGCCCTGTTTCCCCTCCAGCTCCCTGCAAATGGGGCTGGGAAGCAGCAGATGGCTAAAGCACTTGGGCCTCTGTCACCTACATGGGAACCCTGGATGGAGTTCTAGGCTCCTGGCTTCAGTCTGCCCCAGCCATGACCATTGGGGCCATTCGGAGAATGAACCAGCAGATGAAGATTTCTTTCTCCCTCTCCCCATGCCCACTCCCAACACTCTGCTTTCAAATAAACCTTTAAAACAGTGGCTATTACTACACACAGCCCTTGCATCCTAGCAGCCTAGGCTAAGGTGCTACATCCACAATCACCTCCCACTGTCGCTGCAATTATTCCCTAAGCAAAGCAGTGGACTTAACCAGGAAGCAGCAATTTCACCCCCTAGTGGTCAGCTCAGGAAGTGCACCTATGGGACGGAAGGCAGTTTCTCAGACGTGTGGTTAGGAAAGTGGAGTGGAACTGTATGGTTTTGTTTGTTTTTAAAGATTTACTTATTTTTATTGCAAAGTCAGATATACAGAGGAGGAGAAACAGAAAGATCTTCTTGTAATGTGCCAATCCGAAGCCAGGAGCCAGGAGCCAGGAGCTCTTCCAGGTCTCCCACGCGGGCGCAAGGTCCCAACTGCTTTCCCAGGCCACAAGTAGGGAGCTGAATGGGAAGTGGGGCCGCCAGGATTAGAACCAGTGACCATATGGGATCCCAGCACACTCAGGGCAAGGACTTTAGCCTCTAGGCCACCGAGCTGAGCCCAGAACTGTGTTTTTAAGAGCTCAAATTAATGATTGTGTGCAAACAGATTGGAGGTGGGTACAGAAGGGAAGCAGGAACTGTCTGCCAGGAAGAGGCTATTCTGTCCGAGCTGGGAGTCCCATGTGACCATTTTGTGGGCCTTCCTCCCTTGCCCCGAGCACAGTGGCAGAGGTGAGACATGAAAGAACTCAACAATGATTTGGGGATGCTGCTTTCTGGGGTCCACACCCTGGGGTGGCTCTCTCGAGTGTTACTGACCCAGGGACTGGCTTCTGCCAAAACACAGTGAGGCTGTCGCATGTCCCACTAGTGGACTCCTGTCTTTGTTGGCTGTGACAAAGAAACTGCCCTGTGTGGAAACTCATGGGGACAAGCTTGGGCTCGCAGGTGGCAGCTCATGGACGGAGCCCGTCGGCTTCTCAAGGAACTGAAATCCAGCCACAGTAGAAGTGGAAGCAGGCCCTGCCCAGCCGGGCCTGGAGATGAGACCCCAGCCCCAGCCAACCACATGCCTGCAGTCTGGGTTTGAGAGAAACCCTGAGGTACAGAATACAGCAAAATTGTGCCTAAACCTTTGATCTGTGGAAGCCATAAAACAAAAATCTGTCATTTAGGCCACCATAATTTTAATAAAGAATCTTTGCAAAATGTGTCATGCCCACTCAGAACCTTCTAAAATCCCAAGGTACTTCGGTACAGTCAGAAGTGCCCACTCATGTTTCCTGGCACACCTCTGCAACCTCTTGGCAGGAGGCCTTTGTGGATGCTCCACGTTGGCTGAGAACTGACTTGTGACCCGTGAGGGTCCAGTCTGCTGGGCTGGGTTAGGGTTCGTTACGCCAGTGGATCCCATGCCAGAAGCGTGGTCTCGGGGTGATGGAACTGAAAGGGACATTTAGGAGGCGAGGCCCGCAGGAAGTGACTGGCTCAGGACTGCTCTCCCTGGGGTGGCTTAGTTCCCACCAGGGAGAGCAGGCTGTTTCAAATGAGCCAGGCCCTTTTCAGTCACTTCCTCTGTCCCATGGACCTCACTCTTCCACTCGTTCTGGTCACTGCTCTCCCATGCACTCACCGTGGATGTGTGTGACACAGCCAAGGGACCTTGCCAGAAGCATGGCGTTTTCATACACTACCTGCACCAGGCGTTGTGTTATAGTAACACACACACAGCTTGTGCTAGGCCTTAGGCAGGCAACAGTGCTCCAGGAACACAGCTTATCGGGAAGGGCCATGACCACCAGGATGGGGCTGACTGGAGAACATTCATCTCAGGAAGGAAGTTGGGCAACTATGGGTTCCAGAGTATAACGTTTTAAAGATTTATTTATTTTTATTGCAAAGTCAGATATACAGAGAGGAGGAGGAGAGAGAGAAAGATCTTCTGTCTGATGATTCACTCCTCAAGTGGTCACAACAGCTGGTACTGTGCCGATCCAAAGCCAGGAGCTCTTCCGGGTCTCCCACGTGAGTGCAGGGTCCCAAGGCTTTGGGCTGTCCTCTACTGCTTCCCAGGCCACAAGCAAGGAGCGGGATGGGAAGCAAGGCTGCCAGGATTAGAACTGGCGCCCATATGGGATCCCGTGCGTTCAAGGTGAGGACTTTAGCCGCTAGGCCACTGCACAGGCCCCAGAGTACAACTCTCGCTGCTGTTGCCACAGCATAGCCAGCAGACCATCGGGCACTGAGGCAAGCACCAGAGTGCTGGAGGCGCTACACACACAGTCCACAGGGACCACGGTCCTGCAGAAGCCCAGTCGGAACCACAACCAGAGCTATGGAGCCAGAGAGGCCCTGTTAAGTTCTGGAATGATTCTGGACGCAAATAGCTTTCATCCGGGTTAACTGCTGGGCAGTTTGGCTGCTTTTCCTTTGCCTGACTCCCACTGCCCTAGTCTCTCTTCGATGCTATCAGAAGGTGATCGCTTAGCTGGGTTTGTTCTGCCACAGGCAGAACTGAGCTCAGGGTCTCCTCCCTGGGGAAGCCACAGAGGGAGTCAGACAGCAATATCCTTTAAAGTCTTTCCCAAGTCTCAAATTCTGACTTTAGAGACCGACTGACCCAGCCCTACAAACCCAGCCTCTGCAGCTAACTCGATTCTCCAGCCAAAGCAGGGAAGACAGAGGAGTAGAGGTGCCCAGATATCACAGCCAGCACGAGGCCAGCAAGTTCCCCCATTCACTCTCCATTATCTAGCACGCGTGTTCCCAGATAAATATAAAGCTGGAGCTACACCAAGTGTGAAAAATTCTCAACCTCAATTTTCAGGCGATTTAAATTTTTGTTTATGGGGCTGGCATGAAGCCTCAACTGGTTAATCCTCCATCTCTAAGCACCAGCATCCCATATGGGTGGTGGGGTTCATGTCCCTGCTGCCCCACTTCCCATCCAGCTCCCTGCTTATGGCCTGAGGAAGCAGTAAAGTCAGCCCAAAGCCTTGGGACCTGCACCCACATGGGAGACCTGGAAGAAGCTCCTGGCTCTTGGCTTTGGATCAGCTCAGCTCCGGCTGTTGAAGCCATTTGGGGGAGTGAATCAGCAGATGGTAGATCTTTCCCTCCCTTTCATCTTCCCTATAAATATGTCTTTCAAATAAAAATAAATTCAATTTCATTTGCTGGTTCGCTCTCCAAATGCCTGGCTTTACTTTTTTTTTTTTTAAATTATTATCATTTCTGACACAGTTCCATAGGCCCTGGGATTTCCCCTACCCCCTGCCCAAGTCCGCCCCCGCCGAGTTCCCCTCCCAAATGCCTGTCACTGGCCGGGCGTAGACCAGGCTGAAGCCAGAAGCCAGGGACTCAACGCAGGTCTCCCATGTGAGTGACAGGGACCCAGGTACTTGAGGCAGCACTGTTGCCTCCCAGGGTGCACTTCAGCAGGAAACTGGAGTCAGAAGTGGAGCCAAGTTTTGAACCTGATACTCCGATATGGGAGGTAGGCATCCCAAGGAGTGTCTTAACCACTAGGTCCAACACCTGCCTCCTTAACCCCAATCTCAAATGCTTCCAGCTGCGTACAGACCAAACCATTCTCTCTGGAAAATGACCCACCAGCCCTTTGGTGGGGAGAGAAACTCTTCTTCCTCTGATGGTTTGACATAAAAACAGACGGAAAGGACGAGGGAGAGCTCACCACCCAACTTCCTGAAGCTGGCAGCTGGCCAGGCCCAGCGAGGACCCAACAGGATGACATGATTCCCTGTCATCCCAACTAAATAGAAGGACAACAGCATTTACAGCCACACACGGTCTCCTGCTAAGTAGGTCATGATTCAACCACACCTTCTCCACTCATGGCACCTCCCAGGAAGGCGAAGGGCAGGCCCAGCAAAGGAGGGGCTGGGTCCTCAGAGGTCACGCTCAGTGGGGCAGTCCCTGGACACTAGGCTCGGGGCACGGAGGCAGGGCCACCGGCTGGCCCAGCACTGTGTCCAGCAGGCGGCGCTGAGCATCTTGCTTCTCAATGTCCTCATAAGGTGTCCAGGACAAGTCGTGCTGCAGTTTGTAAGCGCCCAGGAATTCATGGGGACAACTCGTTCCCCACTCCTAGAGGGGAAAGGAAACAGTTCTGGTCAGATCAGCGCAGGATGTGGACGGATGCAGCTGAGCTCACGCCCTGTGAAGCACACAAAGCTCTTCTCTGGTTTTTCACTTTGGATGAGTCAGATCCACCCTTAGGAAACCGCTGCGTGGAGCCTGTGTTGTGATGCAGTGAGCAGCCACTGCCACACGGTTGTGTCAGTCCACTTCCCATCGGGCTCCCTGCGGATGGCCTGGACAAAGTAGGGAAGATGACCCAAGTGTTTGGGCCTGTTACCCATTTGGGACACCTAGATGAGGCTCCTGACGCTGGCGGCCTAGTCAACCCTGTCCGTTACAGCCACTCAGAGTGAAACAGGGAATCAAAGATCTCTCTCTCTCGCTGGGTAACTCTTTCAAATCAATAAATAAAACTTTTAAAACATAAAGATAATTACATGACATACCAGATTCCTCGCTTAGCAGAGTAAGTGAAATGACTTAAGCACACACAGATCTTTGGGGGTCATGTTTGCACTGTCCCAATCTCCTAGGAGACTTTTTATCAGTGCCAAGAATTTCTCAAAGGCTAATGAAGAGTTTTGCGCAAAGAATGAACGTTCTTACCTTTGGAGAAATAATGGAAAAATATTGCTGACCGCTTTCCCGCTTGTAGAGGTAGTAAATGTTGCCAGGTTTTTTCACCATGTTGCAGGCTGCGTGGTGCAGGTCAGCGTGTCGGCGAGCATCTTCGAGGACCTGTAAGCAGGGGTGTAAGAACTCAGGGGTCTGAGGTAACAGGCACTCAGGTAGAAACTGGAATCAGACTGTGGTGGAGCATGTTAAGCTGCTGCTTGGAATACTGACATTGCATACAGGCACCAATTCGAGTCCCAGTTGCTCTGCTTCCAATTCAGCTCCCTGCTAATGTGCCTGGGGAGCAGCAAAAGATGGTTACAGTGTTTGGGCCCCTGTCACCCACAGGGGAGACCAGGATAGAGTATCTGGCTCCTGGTTTCAGCCTGGCACAGCCTTGGCTGTTGTAAGCATTTGGGGAGTGAATCAGTAGAACACATAATATCAGTTCTCTACCTCTTAAATAAATCCTGAAAAAACTCCTCAACCCCCAAAGTGTGTGTTTTCCTTTAACCCAATCCCTCTACCTTTCTAGGATATTCTGAGGACAAGTAAGTTATGACAAGTGACAATGACTTCAAGCTCAGCAATGTTGTGAAGCAAAACAAGACCACAGAAACCTCAGGAGTCTCTTACCTTCCTGGCTTGTTCTTGCAGATGCTGGATTTGTTCTGCTATGACCGTCAGCTTGTTGGTGGCATTTGCCCGGATGAACTCATCAGCCTATAGATGAGGGAAAACCAACTGTGGGTTGGAAACTGATCAGTCGTCTATCTGTTGCTATGGAGATCCCGGAGCAGAGAGCTCTGTGGTGTCGCTGCCTCTCACGAACACGTTCCCGTTTTGCTGTGGCCCCGATGTGTGGGTGTGTCTGTGTGTGTGTCCCCGCCGTGGTTCTGTGCTGGAAGCCTGGTCCCTGGCACAGTATGATAGAGCAGGAGTGAGGGTGGGAGTGAATGCGGTTTTTGCAGGATCCGTTAGTTTCCCTGAGGGTGGATTATTGTAAGATGTGATACAGGCCGTCTCAATGGCCCAGTGGCTAAATCCTTACCCTGCACGTGCTGGAATCCCATATGAGCCCTAGTTTGTCCTAGTTTCTGTCCCAGCTGCTCTACTTCCCATCCAGCTCCCCGCTTGTAGCTTGGGAAAGCCTTTGAGGATGGCCCAAGGCTTGGAATCATGCACCCGCGTGGGACACCAGGAAGAAGCTCCTGGTTCCTGGCTTCGGATTGGCTCAGTTTCAGCCACTGCAGCCATTTAGGGAGTGAACCAGCGAATGGGAGACCTTTCTCTCTCTGTATCTCTTCCTTTCCAATAAACACAAATAAATTAAAAAAAAAAAACATGAGCCTGACTCCGAATCCATGTTGCTTCCGGCTACACCACGGGAATCCTTGTCACGGGAGCTCCTGCCAGGCCACTACCAGCCACAAGGCCATGGACCAAGAGGTTTCACCTGAGCCGAGCAATACCACTGCCACACCTCTGAACCCTCAACACGGTGAGCTAAACCTCTTTTCCTTATAAAGTAGCCAGCCTCTGGTATTTTGTTACACAACAGGATAGAGTTGAAACAGTTGAACATCTGATTGTCTCAAGTATGTACACGTTCCAAGAATTGAAGCAGATAGGCTTTTAAAATTTGAACCACAATCAAAACTGTGATGCCTCAGTTCCATTAACCACATAGTAGCCTGCGGCTACCATACATTAAAGTAACAATGACTCAGACATGACAAAATAAACAATTAAAATTGGTATTCTGTGTATTAAGATAATAATGCACTATCACGTAGGCAATAATCACAAGTATGTGACAGAAACAGGTTAAAGAATGAACCAAGGGGGCCCGGCGCAATGGCCTAGCAGCTAATGTTCTCCCCTTGAATGCGCCGGGATCCCATATGGGTGCTGGTTCTAGCCCCGGCAGGCCAACTTCCCATCCAGCTCCCTGCTTGTGGCCTGGGAAGCAGTCAAGGATGGCCCAAAGCCTTGGGACCCTGCACCTGCATGAGAGACTGAACAAGCTCCTGGCTCCTGGCTTCAGATTGGCTCAGCACCAGCCATTGCGGCCGCTTGGGGAGTGAATCATTGGACGGTAGACCTTCCTCTCTGTCTCTCCTCCTCTCTGTATATCTGACATTCCAATAAAATAAATAAAGCTTAAGAAAAAAAAAAGAATGAACCAAGTAATTGGCTTAGGAATAAGGAGTGCTGAGGAACGCAGGAACTGAACAATGCGTACGTTCTAGAGGCACTCACACTCAACTCACAGTGCTACTTGAAAGAATTCCCATGGAAAAGATGTAGGATTTTTTTTTAAGATTTATTTATTTTTATTACAAAGTCAGATATACAGAGAGGAGGAGAGAGAGAGGAAGATCTCCCGTCCGATGATTCACTCCCTAAAGTGATCGCAATGGCCGGTGCTGTGCTGATCCGAAGCCAGGAGCCAGGAACCTCTTCCAGGTCTCCCACACAGGTGCAGGGTCCCAAAGCTTTGGGCCGTCCTCAACTGCCTTCCCAGGCCACAAGCAGGGAGCTGGATGGGAAGTGGAGCTGCCGGGATTAGAACCGGCGTTCATATGGGATCCTGGCACACGCAAAGCAAGAACTTTAGCTACTAGGCTATCGTGCTGGGCCCAGTTCCTTCATTTGCAATTCAGCTTCCTGCTAATGCGCCTGTGAAAGCAGCAGAAGAAAGTACTTGGGCCCCTGCAGCCATGTAGAACACCTCCAATGAAGTCCCTGGCTTCAACCTGGCTCACTTGGGATGGAAGATCTCTCCCCCTCTCTGAAACTCCAGCTTTCAAATAAATACATCTTTTTTTTTTTTTTTTTTTGGTATTTTTAAGATTTTAAAAGGGGGGCAGGGGAAGTGTCACGATGTAGTACACTAAGCCTCCATCTGCGGTGCTGGCATCCTGCATGGACACCAGTTCAAGTCCCAGCTGCTCCACTTCCAACGCAGCTCCCTGCCAATGTGCCTGGAAAGGCAGAAGATGGCCCAGATACTGGATCTGGTCAGGCCTGACAGGTTCGAAATGGAGACAGAAGGCAGCCCACCTCCACCCCACTCTAAGGAGTTATTCAAATATCCCACCCTGGACCCAGTACCATTCCTTTTTTCCTCGCAGCTCACGAAATTCGCGCTGGTTTAGCCATCACCAATCAGATGTAACCTCGCACTCCACCTGAGAATCCCACCCCCAACCTTCCAGCCCCTTCCCCAACTCTGCCCGCTCACCAATCATCCCAAGACATTCACCTGCAGGCACCAATGCCCTGGGGCCTGCCCTCCACCCCTCCCAATCATCCCGGCCCCCCACACCTTGCAGACAAAAGGCCCCCAGGTGCGGCTCTGGCTCGCTCTCCTCCTTCTGGCTTCCCTGCTATTCTCCACCACCTGCACCCCATTCCTGCCCTGCTGGAATAAACCTCCTAAGATACCTCGTTGCGTGGTGTTTTCGGCTCACGATAAAGAACCAGGTTGCGGGAATTAGCTGCGCGTAAAATATCGTAATATCGCATGAACCAGAACTCAAACTGTCTTAAATAATTCTAACGTGTTTTAAATAACACCCACCACCACCTGTCAGCAGCTGCGCGGTCCGGGTGTGGGAAAGTCGCAGGGCGAACCGAGAACGGAGAGGGTTACTCACTTCCCCAGGTGTGCCTCCTCACCTTCTGCACCTGCTCCGCGAGCGCCACGAGGTCTAAGGGGTCCCCGGGCCGGCGGGTGTGGTAGGGGCTCACCAGGGCCAGGCCGCCGGGGGTCGGGGTGAACTCCACCGGGGCTCCTGGACACACACCGGGGGACACAGCCCGTGAGCGCCCGACCCCGCCCGGGCTGCCCTCTGGGGAGGGGGCTTCCTTCCCCCTGGCTGACCCCAGTTCCGCGTACCTCCCGGACCTGCTGCCGACCGCACTACTGAACTCTCAGCGGCTCCCTCAGCCTGCCCGCACGGTGCTCCGTCCTCCATGACAGCCGCTAGGGCGGGGCGAGCCGAAGAGGCATGCGCAGAAAGGCTGGTGGGCGGAGCTTTTATGGTCCTGGGGGGCCCACCCGGCCCTGATTCGGAGGCGGGGCTCTGGCTGGCTGACGCCCGACGCTCCGCAAAGGGGAGGGTCGGGGCGCCCCAAGCCCTGTGGGCATGCGCTGCCCTGGTGGGAGGCGGGGCTTGGCGGGGGCGGGACCCGTCGGTGGGTGGGGCTTCGGCGCGCCGGGGCGGGAGGCGCGCGGTGCCGTTAGGTCTGGGCAGGCGATGGCGGCACGGGCGCTGAGGCTGCTGACCACACTGCTGCTGGCTGTCGCCGCCGCTGCCTCCCAGGCCGAGGTCGAGTCCGAGGCGGCATGGGACATGGCAGCGCCCGACCTGCTCTTCTCCGAAGGGACCGCGGCCTACGCGCGCGGGGACTGGGCCGGGGTGGTCCTGAGCATGGAGCGGGCGCTGCGCTCGCGGGCCGCCCTGCGCGCCCTCCGCCTGCGCTGCCGCACGCAGTGTGCCGCCGACCTCCCGTGGGAGCTGGACCTAGACTCGGCCCCGAGCCTGGCGGCGCAGACCCCGGCCGCCGCAGCCCTGCACGACCTGCGCTTCTTCGGGGGCTTGCTGCGCCGCGCCGCCTGCCTGCGCCGCTGCCTGGGGCCGCCGGCCGCCCACTCGCTGAGCGAGGAGCTGGAGCTGGAGTTCCGTAAGCGGAGCCCCTATAACTACCTGCAAGTCGCTTACTTCAAGGTGCAGGCCTGCCCGGAGCCGGGCGTCTGGCGGGAGTCCTTCCGGGGCAGGGGCGTGGTTGCAGGGGATCCTGGTGGGCTTGGGGGCGCCCGGAAAGTGTCCGAGAGAGAGGGCCGGGGGAGGGGACCTCCTGCCTGGGGAGCGCTCCTCGGGCGCAGGAGTGGGCAGACGCTAACCCCGAAAGACTGCCTGGAGTTAGCACACAGGCCGCACAGATCCTTGGCCTTTGGGGGCTTCGTGGGGGACCTCCTTGGAGGACACCGAAGCGGCGGCCCATGTTCTTCTGACCCGACTCCGCTGCGTCCCAGGGATGCTGGACGCGTCCACCTTCTCTTCCTCCCGGATCGCTTTCCAGTGATGGCTTTCCTGCCGCCACCGAGCCCAGCCGCTCTCTTTCAGGCTGTGGGATTGCCACGTCGCCAGCAGGGGCTGCCTAGACGCTCCCTGGATGGGGGGTGGGGTGGGAAGGGTGGGGACCCTCTGTCAGGTTGCCAAAGAAAATTCCTATTTTTAGGAACCCCAGGGCCAGATACACCCATGGGCGTGAAACACCACAGCCCCTAAGTGGTGACGGTGGTGATGGCGGCCCAGAGCCGGCGGTTCTTAATCCCACTGTGTTGAGGAAAAAGGAGAAAGTCTGTGATGTCTGAAGTTTAGCAGACCTCCTGTTCAAGCTAAAGAGAGACCTCGAGACTTTGGGAGACCCCCACAAAGAAATATTCTTCTCTCGTGCTTCCCCTCTGTTCCTCCATTCAGAATAATTGGGCCGGGTCTGGTCACAGGGTCCAGCAGCGCTTCTGGAAAGGCTGTGGCAGGCGTGTGTTGAGTCCGAGCCGTGTTCCAGTTAGTGTGCAGCTAGCTAGCCGCTCCCCTGAGTTTTGGCTTCTGTCTCGCTTTGTGGGACGGCTGCTAGGTTTGTGGGGCCGCAAAAGAAACAGAACATAGCTTTGGGCTCAGAAATTAGAGTCTCAAAAGAAGAGAGGAGATCCAACTCCCAAATATTGCTGGAGAGAGAGGCTGAGCCGGAAGGAGGAAGAGGACGACCCAGCATGGGGTTGTCCTGGGAACGTCAGCTGTGCTTGGGGTGTCAGGATGCGTGGGGGGCAGCAGGAGAGGGGACTGGGGAGGTGAGTGAGACCAACTGGGGAAGAGAAGTCTGCAGGCTTTAGAGAACCCGCCTCAGGCTTGGGTTTTAGACCCGGTTAGCTAATTCTGGAGAATAAGCCCCGGAAGAAGGAAAGTGGTGACAGGATGGGTGATGTGGGCACATGGGGCTGGGTCCTCCAGATGGAGGGAGGGAGGTGCCTCAGTGCTTAGAGAGTCAAGAAAAGGGTGGGGAGGGGAGTGAGGAGATGGGGGAGGACACACCACTGCAGGGGGATCTGGGGGGGGGGTGAGAGTAGATCCTTAAAAGCAACAGTCCTGGGACCTGTGTTGTGGCGTGGTAGGTTAAGCCACCACCTGCAACACCAGCATCCCCTATGGGCACCCATGTGATTCCTATCCTGATGGTGCACCTGGGAAAGCAGCACAGGATGGCCCAAGTGGTTGGCCTCTGCACTCGTGGGAGACCTGGAAGAAGCTCATGGCTCCTGGAGTCAGACTGGCCCAGCCCCAGCCATCACAGCCATTTAGGAAGTGAAGAGTGGAAGGAAGATGGTCTCTCTCTGAAACTCTGGCTTTCAAATAAATAAATCTTTTTCTAAAGATTTATTTTTATTGGAAAGGCAGATATACAGAGAGAAGGAGAGATAGAGAAAGATCCTCCATTTGCTAGTTCACTTCCCCAAGTGGCCACAGTGGCTAGAGCTGAGCCAATCCGAAGCTAGGTCACAAAACAAAATAAAACCAATCCAGAAATGCTCTTAATGTTCTTAAGTGTTCTTAAAAATAATTCCAAGTGGGCCTGGTGGTGCAATAACCCAGTGGCTAAATCCTTGCCTTGCACATGCTGGAATCCCATATTGGTACTGGTTCTTATCCTGGCTGCTCCACTTTCTGTCCAGCTCCCTGCTTGTACCCTGGAAAAGCAGGGGAGAATGGCCCGAAGCCTTGAGACTCTGCACCCACATGGGAGACCTGAAAGAGGTTCCTGGCTCCTGGCTTCAGATGGACTCATCTGGCCACTGCAGCCACTTGGGGAGTGAACCAGCAGTGTCTCTCCCCTCTGTAAGTCTGCCTTTTCAAATAAAAATAAAATCTTTTTAAAAATAAAGAAAATATATCATCGAGACAATCTCACACCGATGCTCCTGCAATGTACCCTTTTTTTAGTGTACATGAACTCCTAGCGTGTAAACAGCCCCTATGCCTGGTTTGGGAAGTGGCTGCAGCTGCCCAGGCCCCTGTGCCCTCAGCCTTTGGTTGGCAGCAGCTAGGCACAGTGAGGGAGGCTCAGAATGCCTGGGGCTGCCTGTTTGCTGTGGACTGCACTTCAGGTCACATCTCTTCAGGTGAGAATTACAGCTGTGCTTCATTCCCAGATAAACAAGCTGGAAAAAGCCGTGGCAGCAGCACATACCTTCTTTGTGGGCAACCCCGAGCACCTGGAGATGCGGCAGAACCTGGACTATTACCAGACCATGTCTGGAGTGAAGGAAGAGGACTTCAGGGACCTTGAGGCCCAACCCCACATGGTGAAAACCCTGTCTCCTCTCTCTCTCCCACTCTCTCTCTCTCTCTCAAGTGGTTTTTAGTGGTAGGGTTAATTTTTGATTAAAGGAATATTCTCTTTGCATAACAGAACAATGTCAACAAATTTTTAAAATAATCACTTAATGCTAGCACCTAAGAAAACCAGTGAATATTTTACAATACTTTTAAGACTTTCATATCTAATTTTTAACCTATAGTCGTCTCTGTGTCTTCAGATTTTCTTTGAAAACACCTTTTTTTAACATAAGATCTTCACATTTGCAATTTGTTTCTCTTAGAAAGTTTACAGAGGGAAAAAAAAAGAAAAAGTTTACAGATAATTTACAGCCATTTTCTACAAGGGGATTAAACTGTAAACACAGAGTAACCTTAAGGGACAAAGAACTAGATATGACTCAAGTCAAAGCAAAGAACCTCACTTAGCTCAAGCTTCTGTCATCCAAACACAAGGAGAAATAGAAGGGTACTTGGAAAAGGCAATTTTTGATGGCCGCATGATGGTCCATCCTGTGCAGACGCCATGTACTGGACGCATCTTGTTTTTTTCTGGTCTTGTTCACGTCCACTGTGACAAGTGGTGCCCAGCTCCTCAGCACTGCTGCTCTGTTGAACAGGAAACATCTTCTCCATAGAAAGCAGGCTATGGTGATGGAGCACGTTTACAAATAGCTTTTGCTGTCTTACACTTCAGTAACTTAGAAGCAACATCAGGATGACATTTTTGAAGTCAGTTCTGTATATCTGAAAACTCTTAAGGCTATAAAAAAAAAAGTGCAACAAAGTGGCCATGAATTCCCTCACACTTGTCCAGAGAAAGAGTTGAGTGTGTTGAGATTTTCAGAAGTTAGCCCCTGCCATCTGTGTCCTGAATGGCAGACAGAGGGGTCCCCTGGGCTCCCCTCACTCCCCGCTTCCTCCTAGTAGCATGAGTTCCGGCTGGGTGTGCGCCTCTACTCAGAGGAGCAGCCGCAGGAAGCCGTGCCCCACCTGGAGGCAGCACTGCAGGAGTACTTCGTGGCCCACGAGGAGTGCCGGGCTCTCTGCGAGGGCCCCTATGACTACGACGGCTACAACTACCTGGACTACAACGCTGACCTCTTCCAGGCCATCACAGGTGCACCCAGCTCAGAGCCAGGCCTTGGCAGCCCCCACCTCCTTCACCTTGATGATACGCACGCTGCATGCTCAGCCTTATTCCTGCTTCCACTTGAACGGGAAGATGGTGCTATTGGCGCCTCCTCTGTGTTTTTTTCTAGATCATTACATCCAGGTCCTCAGCTGCAAGCAGAACTGTGTCACCGAGCTTGCTTCCCACCCAAGCAGAGAAAAGCCCTTTGAAGACTTCCTTCCATCACATTATAATTATCTGCAGTTTGCCTATTATAACAGTAAGCCCTGCTTGTTTCGTTCTCTGTTGCCCTAAGACAATGAGAGCAAGATGGGGAGTGGGCTTTTTATAGTTATGTATTTCTTCAGTCTGTTTGGATTCTTTCTATGCCTATGGGAGACACCATGCCAGGTGGTCCCTTTGTCAACAGGAAGCTGGTTTCAGAAGCCAGACCAGAAAACAGAGGGAGGGAGACATACTTCTTGTCCCCTCTGAAACATTTCATCTAATGTTTAAATTCGAATTAAAGGTAGTAGCAAAAGTAGAGGTGTCCAGGGGTTGGCCTTTGAGCAGTTGAGATTTGGGGCACTGAAGGTCATGGTGGAGTGCTTGAGTCCCGGCTTCACACCTAGCTTCCTGGGATGCAGAAGGTGATGGTCCAGGTGGTTGGGTCTCTGTCATTTGCGTGCGCTCCCATCTGCTGGTTCACTCCCCAAATACCTGAAGTGGCCCAGAATGGACTGGCTGAAGCCAGGAGCCCAAAACTTCTGGGTCTGCCATGTAGAACTTAAACACTTAAAGCATCACCCACTGCTTCCCAGGATGCCTGCCTCGGTCTGTTCTGCAGTACCATGGCATAGTAAATTAAGCCTCTGCCTGTAACACCAGTATCCCAAATGGGCACCAATTCAAGTCCCTGCTGCTCCACTTCCAACTCAGCTTCCTGCTAATGGCCTGGAAAAGCAGAGGAGGATGACTCAAGTGTTTGGACCCAGCACCCATGTGGGAGATGCGTAAGAAGCCCCTGGTTTCAGACCAGCCCAGTTTCAGCCATTGCAGCCATCTGAGGAGTGAACCAGCAGATGGAAAATCTGTCTTTCCTTCTCTTTCTGTAACTGCCTTTCCAATAAAAATAAGTCTTTAAATCTTTTTGTTTTAATTTATTTGTTTTTATTGGAAAGTCAGATTGACAGAAAGATTTTCCATCCATTGGCTCACTCCTCAAGTGGCCACAATGGCTGGAGCTAAGCCGATCTAAAGCCAGGAGCCAGGAGCTTCTTCTGGATCTTCCACGTGGGTGCAGGGTCCTAAGGCTTTGGGCCATGCTTGATTGCTTTCTCAATCCACAGGCAGGGAGCTGAAGGGGAAGTGGAGCAACCGGGACACAAACCAGAACCCATATGGAATCCTGGCACATGCAAAGCAAGGGTTTAGCCATTGAACCATTGCACCATGCCCAACTTTTCTTTTTCTTTTTCTTTTTTTTTTTTTTTAAGTGGAGGAACCAAGATCCAGATTCATGCATGGGATTGAGCATAGGTGGCTGTGGCTTAACTGGCTGCGCCCACATGCCTGCCTCAGTCTGTTCTGCGGCAGCTAGCACTATGTCATTGTAGGCTCCAACTGTGCTAAGAGCAGCATCTAAGTGGTTCCTTTTCTTGTAGCCATATGTAACTGTATCTTATGTATGTGCTGCTTTGCAGTTGGGAACTACACTCAGGCTATAGAATGTGCCAAGACCTACCTCCTCTTCTTCCCCAGCGATGAGGTGATGACCCAGAATCTGGCCTACTACACAGCCATGCTTGGAGAGGAACGAGCCAGATCCATCAACCCCCGGGAGGTGAGACCTGCTGCTGCATGTGCCCCACAGGGCTTGTCCTGGTTGCGGGGACCAGGGTGGGAGCACTTGAGGCCTATTCGGCATCATGGTGGGCCCAGAGTTGATACAGAGGGTTAGCTGCAAAGCAGGTTGTCCCCTCATTGGCACGGGGATGCTTGGTGCCACCTGGCCAGGGTGTCACGGAATCATCTCCCTCCGACTTCCATCTCCCTCTCCTTGCTGTCTGCCGTTGTGTGTCCTCTTTGCTCCTTCAGCGTTTTCCCACCTCTCAAACACAAGAAGGAAAGCTCTGACAGCAAGCCTGCTGTTCAGAGGAGAAGCACAAGGGTCCTCCCTTGGTCTCTGCAACCCCAAGACTCCAGTAGGCAGGGCCCTGCTGCTGCCCTCCCACAGGAAGACCACCAGTCTAGAACTGCTCCTTGGCCCACCAGATGCTGACAGTCTGGCTTTAAGATGACACTTCCAGTCTCTGTCTTGGTTGGTTAATAGTGTTTCCTCTCCCCCCCCCCTTTTTTTAAAGTCATATTAGCGAGTCTGGGGGAGAGAGGAAAGATAGCCCCACATGGTCAGTCTGCCATTTTTAACCAGGGTCCATTCTAGAAAGTAACATCTACTAAGATCCTAGGCAAGGACAGTGGCTGTGAGCTGGCAGGAACTTGTCCAGGGCCCATGGCTGACAAGTGGCAGCCAGACTCTCTGTGGCTGTTCAGCCCAGTACAGACGCCAATCCTGGCATAGGGTGTTGGGAAACGCACACTCAGTCACAACCCAGGGCCCACTCCCACTCGGTCACAGCCCAGGACCCACTCCCACTCGGTCACAGCCCAGGACTCACTCCCATACGGTCACAGCCCAGGAATCTCTCCTTTACCTTGCTGTGCTTGAACTGTGCCTTACTGTTTATCTTAACTAATGGTGTCTTCTTGTGTCTGTCTTCCGCCTGCTGCTTGGAGACTAGCAGGGCGCCTAGGGAAAGGTGTGACCCAAGCACCCCATGCTGGGTGCGCTCTGCCTGCAGGAAGGCTGCTGGGCCAGGTAGGCCCTCTCCTGCGGTTGTCTTCGGGGAGGGCTGCTGTCAGGTCAGAGGCTGAGGAAGGCAAGAGGCAGTGCGGGAGGTCATGGGCCTTGGGACCAGGAGGCCCTGGTTTTGAACAGGTGTCCCTGCTCCCCCATTTCCTAAAGCGTCACCTTAAACAGACAACACTCCCCCCTCACCCCCTCAGTTCTCTCCCCTGTGAAGTGAAGATAATAGAGCCAACCTCAGAAGTGTCTGTAAAGGTTAGATGAGTCACTCGGTGTCACCTGGCACCAAGGCTCCCCCACTGAGTATGGGGCTCCTGCCATGTTGTCATCCTCATCTCACGAAAGCCAGCCAGTTTTCTGTCCCACAGGTACCTGGGGGGCTGGTGTTGCCACCTGTGCTAGGCAGGAGAACCGCTGGGCCGAGAAGAGTGACTTGTGTCCTAGCTGAAGAGCAGTCAGTCATGGCGGAGAGCCAGGGAATGGAGAGCCAGAGAGGGACCGTCTCCCTGCAGGGTGAAGGGGCAGGGCTGAGATCCAGGGCCCCCTGCCTCTGTTTCTGCAGAGTGCCCGGGAGTACCGACAGCGCAGCCTGCTGGAAAAGGAGCTGCTCTTCTTTGCCTATGATGTGTTTGGAATTCCCTTCGTGGATCCGGTGAGCCAGCAGAAAGAGGGGCGGGCGAGTGTGGTGCGAGTGGGGCAGGCGCTGCACTGTCAGAGGGTCAGCAGGCAGGGAATCTGTGGAAGGGGACCATGAGGGACCTAGAGGAGCGGGAGGGGCAGCCAGGAGACCCCCGCTTCGCCTCCAGAAGGGAGGTGGGTGAATTTCCCCCCGTAGCCCCGTTGTACACCTTGGGACCCTGGAAGACTAAGGAAGGCCCCTGCATTGTTCATTTCTCCCTGACCTACTGTTAGGATTCGTGGACTCCAGAAGAGGTGATTCCCAAGAGGTTGCAAGAGAAACAGAAGTGAGGACCTTGAAGAAACTGCATGATTGGATCGATCTGATGAGGCCTCCCAAGCCCAGGCAGATGCGAACTCTGGGCCCAGGGTGGGCGGGTCTGGGCTGGCTGCTGGGGTGGAAGCCCAGGGCTGGCCCTGGGGTGGCAGGCCTCAGAGTGGCTGTACCCACAGGTCCGAACGGGAGACAGCTGTGCGCATCTCCCAGGAGATTGGAAACCTCATGAAGGAGATTGAGACCCTGGTAGAAGAGAAGACCAAGGAGTCGCTGGATGTGAGCAGGCTGACTCGGGAAGGTGAGAGGAAGGAGAAGAGGAAGGGGCATGTTGTCAGGCTGCACCCCGCAGGCCAGCCTCAGGTTGGGCCAGCTGGCATTAGGGCCTTCCCAGCTCGCCAGCAGGACTGCCAGCTGCGAATAGCCCTGTCGATTTGGCGAAGTAGAATTCCTGTATCACAGAAATGTGAGTTTAGCGCCCCCTGGAGGCGTTTGTAGGACACTGCTCAAAGCCTCCTCTGGCTCCTCCTCCCCCCCCTTGCCGCTCCCTCTGGGTGCCTGCCGATAATAGCTCTATTCTGCCTGCCTTTATCCCATTGCCCCTGGCTCCATCAACTGCTGCCAGCAGTCACAGTCCTCTCCCCTCATCTGGTCCGTCCTTGCCCACTGGTGGGTGCCAGAGCTGGCTTGCAAACTCAGGATGCTACCCCTGCCCTCCTTGCCTTCCCCCTAGGCACACAGCCTCCTCTTCCAATGACACCTCCTCTGCTTCAAGCAGGGCTGCCCCTTGCTCTGCAGCCTGCCCCCACTCACAGTCTTTGTGCGACTGTGTCCCTCCTGCCAGCACACTTCCCATGATCCCTGCCCTTGAATCTGTCTCAGGTACCCCCCTCAAAGTTTGTTTTTAAGACCTATTCATTTATTTGAAAGGCAGAGTTACAGAAAAAGAGAGAACTGTCTTCCATCTAATAATTCACTCCCCAAATAGTCACAGCAGCCAGAGCTTGGCCTGTCCAAAGCCAGCAACCAGGAGCTTCTTCTGGGACTCCCGTATGGATAGCAGGAGCCCAAGCATTTGAGCCCTCTCCAGCTGCTTTCCCAGGCATGTTAGCAGGGAGCTGGACTGGAGGTGGAGCAGCCTGGACCTGTACTGATGCTGGCACACAGCTGGAAGCTTTACCCGCTCTGCCACGTCATCGGCCTCTACAGCCGATTGGAGTCCTCTCTTTCTGAACTCCTTAGGCTGCTACAGCCTGCTTTGTGCTGGTTGTTAAGTAACTTGCAGAACAGGTACAACCCTCCAGTGCCCATCCCTCGCTAGTCTGCGCAGTGCTCCTCGAACACTGAGGCCTCAGCCAGTAGAAGGACTGAGCGGAGTCTCTGGTGTGTCCCCATCACAGTGGGACCCCATGGAAGCAGGGAGAGGGAATGCTGGGTCTCTGCCCCTACTGGCTTTAATGGTTCAACAGGAGGAGCAGAGGGCAAGGACTGGTCTGGCATGGCTTAGTGTCCAGAGGCTCCCACCCGCTTCTCTTCACTCCCTGAGATGGGTTAGGCATACTGGCAGGTCCTTCTGCAAGTAAACGTTGATGGCGACTGTGATCATGAAGGTGTTAGAATGGTCATCCAAACTTCTAAGCTTCTACCGTGTGTCAAATACTTTTAGGATGGTCACTTGTCTTATTTGTCATCAGCATCAAACTTAGAGGGAAATGCTATCAGTCAGATCAGAGCATGAGTTGAATTCAGGGTTAACCTCGGGCGAGTCAGTAACTTGCCAAGGGCACACAGCTGAGAAGCGGAGGACCACAGGTCACATCCAGCAATTGCCGATTGTGGAGGTCATGGCCTAGGAATGTGTCGATGATGGTGCCTGAACAATACACAAAGGCCAAGAGCCTTCCTAGCAAGACCAGACTGGGCCCTGGATCCATCTCTCGACTCCAGATACAGTCCTCTGGAACCACCTCACCTGTGCAAGTGATGGACCAGGGAACAGCTGGAACCTCTGCTCCTTACACAGGAACAGTCTGCAGGGAAGGGTCTAGGTGGGCAGAACTGCTACTGGGTCTTGCCAGAGTTGGTGCTTGCCTTCCAGGTGGACCCCTGCTCTACGAAGGCGTTAGTCTCACCATGAATTCCAAGGTCTTGAATGGGTCCCAGCGGGTGGTGATGGATGGCCTCATCTCTGATGACGAGTGTCGGGAGCTACAGAGACTGACCAATGTAAGGGAAGCAGGATGGCGGCCCCTGCTGACCCACTCTCCCCCCACCCACCTCATCTCAGGCCATCCTGGCCCACTGCCTCTTAACTTTGGGATCTTACAGGCAGCAGCAACCTCGGGAGATGGCTACCGGGGGCAGACTTCCCCGCACACTCCCAACGAGAAGTTCTATGGCGTCACTGTCTTCAAAGCCCTCAAGGTAGAGTGGGTGCAGGTGGGGTCTGCATGCCTGAGGAGCAGTAGGAGGGAGAAGCTGCTGGCGCTGGATGAGGGGAAACCTGGAGCCCATGCCTGCCCGCGCCAGTTTCCAGCATGTGGGGAGTGAGGCTCGGAAGAGCTCAGCCTTGTTGTAGCTCCTGTCTGCTAGACCAAGTGTCACGGAGGAGAGGGGGGCAGACGGAGCACTGGGCTTCTGGGCAGGCGGCAGCAGGTATTCATGTGGAGGGCGGGTGTGCTGCTTGTGGGGAGCAGACACTGCACCCCGAGCAGGGGGGTGGCAGGGGTCTCTGGTGGCCACAGAGGGGCCTTTGGGGTAGCTGAGCACTCACATTCCTGGCAGCTGGGGCAGGAAGGGAAGGTCCCTCTGCAGAGCGCACACCTGTACTACAACGTGACGGAGAAGGTACGGCGCGTCATGGAGTCCTACTTCCGCCTGGACACCCCCCTCTACTTCTCCTACTCACACCTGGTGTGCCGCACTGCCATCGAAGGTGGGCCCTCCCATCCCCTCTGAGGACACTGTGCCCTGGCATGGGTGGGACACTCGGGGTGTGGAGGCTAGGGCCGTCCCTGTCCTAGCTGGTGAAGCAGCCGGACCGATTCGCAGAACCTTGGCATCACAACAGTGTGGCAGAGTTACAGGAAGCCTGACTAGGGCCTGGAGGGCTTCCCAGAGGAGGTAGAGGCATCAGGAACACATTGTGGAGAGCACAGGGCAAGGGGGTGGACAGCCGTGCAGCCCAAAGAAGGTGCAGGAGGCCCTGGGCAGCCTAGTAGCTGAGGAAGCTAAGAAAATTGCTGAATTACAAAACATTTGAGGGTTTTAAAATTGATTTTATTGATTTGAAAGGTGGAGTTACAGAGAGACAGATCCTCCATCTGCTGGTTCATTCCCTTAATGGCCACAATGGCCAGGGTTGGGCCAGGCCACAGCCAGGGACCTGTAGCTCCATCCAGGTCTCCCCGCTAGGTGGCCGGGCCCAGGTTGTTGGGCCATTCCACTGCTTTTCCAGGTGCACCAAGAGAGAGCTAGCAGAGCCGTTGGAACTTGAGCTGGCACTCATATGCGATGCTGGCATCACAGGCAGTGTACCACAACCCTGAGCCCAAGAGTTCACTTACACTTTGTAACCGTCTTGAGCTGCATTGCAAGCCCGCTTGTTCCCGTGTCTGAGGGATTCAAGGTTCTTCCCTGTTCTCTGACTCCCACCGTCCCTTTTGTTTTTCTTAGAAGGGGTGAGCTAGAACAGGCTGCGGGGATCATGCATAGCCCTGCCGCGCCTTCAGGTGGCGCACATGAGAGGGCTTTGCTTCCCGTGGATGTGTGGAGTCCTGCCAGCCTGAGTCATGCAGCCTCAACATGAAGTGTCCGGGCAGGGCCACGCCACAGAGCATTGTCAAGCCGTGGACTCATGAGGGCCTTGGCTTTTAGAGAACAGCGTCACAGCCAGGTGTCAGGAGAGGCAGGGAAGCTTCGAAGAGTGGTCGTGGGGGAGGAAGATGCAAGCCTAAATCCAAAAGGAGCCAGTGAGGCTAGAGAAGGAGGGAAGGACCTGGTGACCCACTGGACAGGCTGCCCTGGGGGAGGGTTGACCTGGCATTTTGTGTGCCCTCCCCACTTGATTTCTCAGTCCACCCACCCCCAGAGCCTTCTAGTGGGATAGATTCCTTAGAACCACCGGCCCCATCTTCCCGGCACTCATCACTCAGGTTTCCACCCCTCCCCTCCTATAGGACTGAGTACCCCAAGCCTGCACCCATCCCACCTCCCAACTCCACTCATCACTTCCCTGGGCCCAGTGTGTCATCCAATCAGGATGTGACCATTTCTTCCTGCCGTGCTGTGCCTGCCCTTGCCGAGAGCCATCCCAGGAAGCCTGCAGACTCGGGGCCACTGTGCTTATGGCTTAGCTCGAGACCCACGACCCTCAGTCCCTTGACCATTTCCAAGCACCCCCAGCATCCTGCCCATGACAGAGGAAGGGCTATGATGTCCCAGCACTCACCCGGGTTTCCTTGGCCCAGAGACACAGGCCGAAAGGAAGGACAGTAGCCATCCAGTGCACGTGGACAACTGCATCCTGAATGCCGAGACCCTCGTGTGTGTCAAGGAGCCCCCTGCCTACACCTTCCGGGACTACAGGTGCGTACAGGGGCAGGTGCCACAAGGCAGGCAGTGCCCCACCTTCTCTCCCTACCCCTGGACATGCACGCAGACACACAAGTTAGGCCAACTGTTCCTAAAGCCCACTACTTCATCCCACAGACCTCTGGATAGGAAGCCCCTCAATGAGAAACTCGTTACAGTAGTGTGATGCATGTGTCACGGGGTGGGTGGTACAGAACCCCCCCACACACACCTGCTCCCAAGGACATGCTGGATTCCCTATGGTTAGAGTGTCAGGGAGTGGAGAGGGGGAGGGTTAGAGGTTGCCATGCTGCTTCCAAGGTCTTTGAAGGCGTTTGTCTTGTGAAGGCCCCTCTCCTCCCACCCCGCCTCTGGGCACATGTGGAGGTGCAGGCTTTTGGGGAGTAGCCAGGGCAGAAGGGCAGCACCGTGTGTCTCTCCTCCCCAGCGCCATCCTTTACCTGAACGGGGACTTTGATGGAGGGAACTTTTATTTCACTGAACTGGATGCCAAGACGGTGACGGTGAGTATTCTCTTGCTCTCCTGCCCAAGAGACACAGATGTCTGTTCTCTGGAGTGGGCAGTGGACTGACCGGCTGGTCTTCCCAGTGGCCTGTATGCCCTGCCCCAAACCGGGGGGTTGGGGCATCCAGGGCAGCCAGTCACTGCTCTGGCTGGCTGCCCTTTCTCTGTAGCTCCAGCTTTGGAAAGAACCATCTTCAGTCGTGGGCCCCCATAAGCTCAGGTCTTTTCTAAGGGCGGGGTTGCACTCCCTTTTCTGTCCCCTTTAGGCGGAGGTGCAGCCCAAGTGCGGCAGAGCTGTGGGATTCTCTTCAGGCACAGAGAATCCACACGGAGTGAAGGCCGTCACCAGGGGGCAACGCTGTGCCATCGCCCTGTGGTTCACCCTGGACCCCCGACACAGTGAGCGGGTGAGAGCCCCTTCCTGCACAGGCCCTGTGCCACCTCCTCCTCCACAAGGCTTCTCACCGGGGGCTTCACAGCATTGGGTTTGGGACTCCCTGCTCCAACACTGTGTCCCCAGGGTCACGTAGCATCATCTTCCTCTCTGGGCCTTCTCTGCTACCTGGACATGGGGCCCCACCGGAATGGAGGAGGGTATTGGGTTCCTGGCTCCCTGCTGGGCCAAGCAGGCTGTTGGCGTGGCGGAGCTCCTGCACCCAGAACCTCTCTGAGCAGGCAGGGCTTGTCCCTTACAGGACAGGGTGCAGGCCGACGACCTGGTGAAGATGCTCTTCAGCCCAGAAGATATGGACCTGCCCCAGGAGCAGCCTGTGGGCGCCCAGCAGGGTCCCACACAACCTCAACAAGACTCTGTCTCGGGCAGCAAGTCAGGGCCCAAGGATGAGCTATGACAACATCCAGGTGGACACAGGTGGGCGGGTAGACCCTCAGGGAGAAACTCTGTCCCACATCCGGGGCTGGCCAGGCCCTCGGGGCCACCAAGTGGTGGGCCGGCCTTCTGCACGGTGCTGTTGCTCTTGGAGTGGACACAGCAGGACACTGCTTCCCGCTGGGCTGGCTGGTGGCTCAGGATGCAGACTCGACACAACCCAGGCAGCCTGCACAGGGAGCTACCGGACAGCAGGATAGTATTTAAGTGTCTGTATAGACAGCCAAAGAATAAAGGATTCGTGGGTTTTTTTGGACTTGGTGGTTTGTTCAGTGATAGGAAATCAGCCCCATCTGTCCGGGAGGCCTCGGCTGATGGGAGTTCATTCGGGCAGGATGCAGTGGCAGGGTCCGTACACAAAGGCCTGGCCCAGCCTGCTGCTTTCTGTGTAGCCTTGGACTGGCCTTTTAACCTCAGGGACCTTGGCCTTGTCTCCACAGTGGGAGCTCATCGACTCTACCCACCTTCCAGGGGCAGCGGGGGTTGGGCAGGTAGGAGGGTTTCTGTGGCCAGATGCAAGTTCGGCTGTCACAGCGCTTTGTAAACTGCCAGGCCCTGGGTGAGTGGTCAGGATTATTCCTAATCCTCCCCTGGCAGGGAGCAGGGTCAGGAGCCCCTGGGCACGGTGCCCCACATCAGCCACGTGCTTCCTGCTCTGCTGTCTGGCCTGAGAGCCCGCACCCAGGCCGCGTCTCCAGGAGACAGAGAACAGGAGATCCGGGTCCCCGTCACCAAGGCCACCGCCCTTCCTGAGCTCTAAACTGTGAACGTGAGAACCTGCAGTCAGCAATCTTTTATTCAATTGTGTGATATTTAGTTATTGAGCACCATCTGCATGCCTGGGGCTCGGAATACAGTAGTGAACAGGTTCAGGCCCCCGCCTCGTCAATATTCAATGTTGTAGGGGAGACGTAATAAATGTGGGATACCTGTGTGTGTATAATCCTAGGAAGAAACAATGCAAGTGAGGGCCTTAAGGCAGCGGCAGCAAGGGGCCTGATGCTGTGATGCAGAGGGGGAGGAGGAAGTGGGTGGCAGGCGGCCAGGACCTGAGGGGCCTTGGCCACTGTGAAGTCAAGGCATTGGCTTGGTGAGACAGGAGTCACGGAAGGATTCCCAGCAGGGGAAATGCCTTTGGATGATGCCTTGGCAGATATCCTGGGGCCAAGAGTGGAGATGAGAGCAGTGAGGGGATAAGCCAAGGAAAGGGACTGTGGCTCACACCTGGCAACGAGGGTCAAAGACTTGCTCCCATGCGGCTTTCTGAAATCGAGCCAGCAAGAGGTGCTGATGGAGGGAATGTGAGGACTGAGAAAGGCATGAAGATGATGGCTGAGCGGCTGGGAGGTGAGCTGCCTTTTCTTGCACCAGGAGCTGAGCAAGGCTGCAAGAGGAATGGCCACCAGGGCTTTGGGTGTTGGCGTGTCAGCACCTGGATTCAGAAGCAGACTGGGGGCTCGGGCGCAGCCTCTGCGACATGGGATGTGCGCAAGCAACATCTCAACCACTGCCAGATACAGGACACTCTGCTAGGTTGGAGGAATTGCTCTGTGATTGCATGCATCGCGGTGGATTCTCCCCTGACTTGTTCTGGTGACTCATGCATCATAGAAGACTGCGTTCACAGAAAGACCATGAACTTGGCCCACCTGCTGGGCTGGTGGAAACGTCACTGGTTGCTGTGACCTTCAACGAGTTACACAACCTCTGACTGTGCTTCCTCCCCAGGAACGGGGGCTGACAAACCTCACCTCCCAGAATGCGAAGTACCTGCCATGCTGCTTAGCGCTTGGTAGATACACAACATGACAGCTGCATCAGCCTGATTCTGGTTTTCCAGAAATTTCCACACAATGACCTTTTCCATTTTTATATAATGCTAACTACACGGAGACAGCAGACTGTCTCTGTTGAGCTCAGAACAATTTAATGTTTTCTACAGGAACGGAACCAAGATAAGTGTATGTAATTAGGCTGGGGCGAGTCATCCCGGAAGTAGAGGCTGGTGCTGGAGTCCTGGCCAAGAGGCGCCTGTGTTCGTCTGGTCTGTGTTTAGTAATAACATCAACAACAGGAAATGAAGGGAGAGAGTCTGTGGGAGGATGAGAGGGGCAACTTCACAAACATGGAATATTAGCCTTTCGTTACAAGGAAATGTCTGCTTAGGATTGAACCAGGACTGTTTCAGAGCACAAATTTCAGTGGCCTGGCTGTCTCAGCATCTGGTAGCAGTGTTCTTGCTGGCAGATACACCCATGGCAGGCGTCCAGGCTTTCACTTACAGTCGTCATGATCCATCCATGGGACTAAGGACCCAAGGCAATCACCTACCAACGCCATGATTGGATGCAAGTCCCCATCTTCTCAGTACTCACATTCAACAGAAGGTTTTGGGGACCAGACCATTAGTACATTTGTCCTTGGGGGAATTACATCTTTGAAACAGATCCAGGGACCGGGCAAAGTGGCCTAACAGCTAGAGTCCTCGCCTTAAACGTGCCAGAATCCCGTATGGGCACTGGTTCTAATCCTGACAGCTCCACTTCCCATCCAGCTCCCTGCTTGTGGCCTGGGAAGGCAGTCGAGGACGGCCCAAAGCCTTGGGACCCTGCACCTGTGTGGGAGACCTGGAGGAGGTTTCTGGCTTTGGATCAGTTCAGCTCCAGCCATTGTGGTCACTTGGGGAGTGAATTATCAAATGGAAAATCTTCCTCTCTGACTTTTCCTCCTCTCTATATTATCTGACTTTGCAATAAAAATAAATAAATCTTAAAAAAAAAAAAAAAAACTGAGATCCAAACCACTGCAAAGGGGGAAGACCTGGATGTGAAATGCTTTGATCCCTGGCACTCCAGGCAGCTCTAAGAGCTCTCAGCAGGGGCACCAAGAAGCCCATGTGCAGCACCATCAGAGAAGGAGGAAACATGTGCTGTAGAGGTGCCTGGCCCGGGCAGAGGGTGGGACACAAAAATGGGGCTGCCTGTATGGCTTCTGATGCGCAGGAAGGAGGCCAGCAGCCCACTGTGTGCAACAAAGAGAATATACAGTTACGGGGTTCCCATAAGGGGCAGCAGTTAAGGGAGGCTGCAGGGCGGCAGGACTGCCCACCAGCTCCCGGGGACCTGCTGAGCCTGTGACTCCATGAGAAGCTGATCCTGAGTTAGGAGCAGGAAGACCAGCACAATCCTGGAACTTCAGATGGTGGTTACAGCCATCAAGTCTGGCCCCACTCACTGGCAGTGGGGGACCAAGTGGATGTCTCTGGTTCATTAGGCAAGAAGCAAAAAGAGTTCTCTTTATGTCTGTTAGCCCACTGACAACAAAGACTTAACAAGGCCTCCATCAACCAGACACTGCCCGCAAGGAGAAGGCCTCGGCCTCAGCAGTCCAGGCGCCCGCAGGAGAAGGCAGTAGTAACACGGGCCCTGGGGTGTGGGGAAACCCAGCTCGGAACCCGTCGAGAGCAGATCTCCCATCACATGCTCTTCAGGCCCTTTAGACTTTCCAACAACCTATCTCACTGATTCTCTGACATCTGTCAACCCCCTCATGAACAGCTGGGGCGCTGCCACTTGGGGCACCCACATGGGTTCAAGTCCCGGCTGTGTCCCTGACCCCAGATTCCTGCTATGTTGTCAGTTGCTGCCATTCTTGTGGGAAATTAAGTTCTGGCTCTCAGCTCTCAGCTTCAGCCCTGCCCTAACTGTTAGGGGCATTTGGGAAGTCAACCAGTAGATGGGAGATACCTCTGTTTCTCTGTCTTTCAAATTAAATAATAATAATAATAATTTAAACATTTTTAGGGGCAGGCCCAGTGTGGTAACCAAATGGCTAAAGTCCTTACCTTGCACGCATCAGGATCCCATGTGGGTGCCAGTTCATGTTCCAACTGCTCTGCTTCCCATCCAGCTCCCTGGGACTGGAGACAGAACTGACCCAGCAATTGCAACTACCAGCGTGTGTGAAGGCTGATTTGGGTGATGAAGTATGCCGGACCCTGTATTGGCATGTACACAAAAGAATCAGGTCTAAGATGGCCTCAGATGAGATTTCTTTGGTGATTCCTTACTGATTGAACCACTGGACTCAGAACCCCAACCATTGCAGGTTCCATGGTCTGACCGCAGAGTGCATGTGTCATAGCTGGGCCTCCTCAGTGACTTAGACGGAGCAGTGGGCAGCGTATCCAGATGCACATGGAGGATATGGCAGTACACTGGAGCCTGCAGAGGACACATGGTACCATAACAGAGGACAGAACAAATTGATCAACTATTCCAACCAAGCACTGGCAGTGAATATCTGGGCAGATGGAGACTCTAAGGCGGATTGTCAGCCAGTGGATTCTGGAGAGATCTCGTCGCGATTGGAGTGGCGGGATCAACAACAATTCAGGACCGTGGAATTACCAAAACCTCTTGAGAACTTTATGGCATTGTAAATTTCTATTTCTCTTCCTGTTGTTGATTTTGTATTGTGGCTTTTTCATTTAAGGGGATGTATAGTAACTGTGAAATGGAGACTATCATATCCAGGTGTGAGGATACAATGCAGTAGGCATGTCTACTTCCAGATCAAGGAGAGACTCCCAATGAAACTGTTAACGATATCTTGACAATAGCATGCTGGACTCTCTGCCATTGTCCATGCCCACAATGATGGACATATTAATGTTTAGGAAGAACAATATTGCAGTAATAAAATAGGGGAACTCACTGGCAGGGAGGGGTTTTGGGGTTGGGGTCAGGGAAATCCCAAGGCCTATGAAACTATCATAAAATGATAATAATAATAAATTTAAAATTTTTTAAAGATCTATTTTTTTTATTGGAATGTCATATCTAAAGAGAGAACGAGAGACAGGGAAAAAGATCTTCCATCCACTGGTTGACTCCCAAGTAGCCAAAAAGGCTGGAGCTGAGCTGATCCAGACCCAAGTGCCAGGAGCTTCCTCTGGGTCTCCCATGCAGGTGCAGGTCCCAAGGCCTTGAGCAATCCTCTACTTTTCCAGGCCACAAGCAGGGAGCTGGAAGGGAAGTGAAGCAGCCAGGGTACAAATCAGCACCCATATGGGATCCTGGCACATGCAAAGCAAGGACTTCAGTCACTAGGCTATTGTGCTAGGCCCAGCCTAAATAAATTTTGGGAAAAAAAGAAAAGAAAAAAAGATATTTTTCCCAAAAAGTGTTTTTTTTTTCTTTCCCAAAAGGTGTTATTCTGAAGCCAGTGCTGTGACATAGTAGGTTAATCCACCTCATATGATGCCAGTTTGGGTCCTGGCAGCTCTACTTCTGACTCATCTCCCAGCACCAGATGACACCTGCTAGGATCCCTGCACCCTCTGGACTTCGTCCTGACT